GAGAATATTAAAATAAATGTATTTTTAAGTTTTTATGATAGGATAGTAAAAGTGACCAGAAGAATTCTCCAATTTAACCACTTTCCTTTCATAGATTGATAAATTCTCTCTTTAATTAGAATTTTATTTCTTATTTTGAGGGGATATAGTTAGATTGCTTAATTAATGGACAAACATATCTTCATGTTTAACTTGTGATACATACTATAAAGATGTCTAGTGACGTCCATATACTTACGTCAGCAAAAAATATATATAAATCATTTTTAAGTAAGCTAGCAATAGTCGTGGAGTAATAGAAAATTGAAGACAAAATCTGATATCCCGTTAATTTGAACTGTATCAATAACTAAAAGAAAGCTGAGAAGACAGCCTGTAAAACGCAATTTGCAATGAGGCTGGCAGACTCCACTCTCCAAGCAGGTTTTATTTATAAAAAAGAGTAAACGGCATGATCCCACCCAAGGTTTGGCAAAATGATCAGTTTTTCACCCTCGTTTTATAAATTACAGATTTTCACCCATAAACCAATATAGTTAGGGTCTGTTTAGTTTTTATTATTATGATAGTTTTTAGAATAATATTTAAAAAAAAAAACTAAATTAGGCGAGTATTACGATGTAAGATTTAAAAATTAACAAAATACCCTCTATGTTTATTTATTTACTAAAAACCCCTATAAAAAATATTAAAAGTTAACAAAAACACCCCCAACCCACTCATTAAATACGAAAAACCGGCCACCACCACCGGAGCGTGGCCAGAGTCACCGTATCAGTGCATGACCAGGTGGATCTGACCGGAAAAGGTCAGATCTACTGCTAGATCTGGCCATTGACGGCCAGATCTGGCCGCATTTGGTCGTTAACGATGGCCAAAGATACCGCCGTCATTGATGGTCAACGACGACCATATGTTGGCTGTCGTTGACGACTGGCTACAGCCAAAGATCTGGCTGTCAACGGCCAGATCTTTGGCAGTAGATCTAGCCTTTTCCAGCCAGATCCATCTGGATCTGGCCGAAAAAGGCTAGATCGATGCACTACCGGCCATATTCAGCCGGTTGTGTTCCATTATACCAGATTTCGGCCAGCTTCCGACAGTGGTGGTCGAAATCTGGTAAATGTGGGTTGCTGGGGTGTTTTTGCAATTTCTAAAAAATATATTTGAGGGTATTTAGTTACTTTAACAAACTTAGGGGGATTTAAAAGAAAATTGAATAATATAGAATAATATTGTGAGAATAAGTAAATTTTACTGTATAACTTTATTGGGAATACTAATAAGAGTGTAAAAACATCTCTAATAATGCTCTTTATTTTGAAGAACATCTTTTATATAAATAAAAAGTATTTTCATTCATTTTTAAATATAAAGAACACAATTTTTATTCAAATTCAATAAACTCTTTAAATTTAATGAAGATGCTCTTTATGTTTAAGAAAGAGACTTAATGGAAGAGAGAATTAATAAATAAAATGCATAGGAACTTTTAGTTTATTAATTAAAATTAGGATAGAAAGTGAAATTTGACTATCTAAATGTGGAGAGTCAAATTCACTCTCTAATTTATATTTTAAAGATAAAGAATCTATTGGACTCTTGTTTTTATGGATAAACTTTTTATAATAAAGAGTTTAGGTCATATAAAGAGTTCTTTGGAGATGCTCTAACAAACGGATCCTTAGTGATTTTTAGGTTCCTAAACAGGTGTTAGAATGCTATTACTATAATGCTCTTGACAAATAAATTAATAATTTACCCTGTAACCCCCAATTTTTGGCCATATTCGCTGGCTCGAACAACCCAAAACACCATGAGCGATGGCTACCTCTGGCCACTCCAGCCTATTCTGGCGTCGTTTGAGCCTCTTGACTCCACCACCTTACTCCTCTCAACCTACCCATCAAAACCCTTATCACCCCCCACCTCATTGAGCCTCCAATCGCCCTCTTTTAGTCCGCGGGCTTCCAAGTCTTTTCCGGTTGATCCCAACGTCAGAAACCAACGATGACCCCACTTTCCTCTCCACCGACACCTTCTCTCAAAAACCCCCAACACCTTGAACCTGAATTACTAGCTGATCGTTGGAATCACGCCGTCCGCAACCTCCTTTAGGGTTTTGCGAATTTGTTATTTTTGGGTTAGATTAAAGTTTGATTTTGATGATTTGAGGGGAGATTGATGATTAGAGGTCTATTGGATTTGTTTTTGAAGTGTTTTTGTTGTTTTTTCTGGGTTTTTGAGTCGATTCCGACATTGAAGATCGAAAATTTTGAATTGGCACTCCACCTGTTCGACAAAAGGCCCAAGCCAATTTGGCCAGCACCTTCCCTCAGGGTCCAACAGTGCCGACAACGAGCAGGCCAGATTGAGTGCTTGTGAGAGAAAATTTCAATACGATGGGTTACTTTGAAAATTTTATTTGTATCTGTGATTAAATACAACGTAAATAACCACTTTACCTTTTCACCGTTATATTAAACAATTTTTTAGTTTAAAGATAAGAATCTAAAATTTATAAATCAAGGGTGAAACTTGTCATTTAACCCAACCGTGGGTTGGGAAAATGTCTTTTACTCTATAAAAAATGACCCAATATAGATTTTTATTTAAGCATAATTTATTACCACATATTATAATAACTTATTAAATCTTTTCGTTGAGTGGACCACTAGATTTTTATGACCATCTTACAGCAGGGAAGACATTTTTTACCGCACCAATTAATTGAAGGATAATACTGTACATACTAACGGATTTTACTAATCAATGTACTAACTTTTGTTAAAATCACACATAGTACCCATACTATGCGTATGGTACCCATACTATGCTTTAAGTTAGTACATCAGTTTGTAGAATCTATTAGTACCCATAGCATTACCCTTAAGTAAACCTTATTTCTAAGTTGAATAATACTTTGCGTACTAACGGATTTTACTAACCAGTATACTAACCTTTGTTAAAATCACACATAATACCCGTACTATACGTATGTTACCTGTACTATGCTTTAATTAGTACACAGATTAGTACCCATCCGTTAGTACCCATAGCATCACTCTTCTAAGTTAGGTCAAAGAGAATAGTTAATGCACTATTTATTTGTACATTTCTTTATGATATAGGCCAATAAGTAAGTTATTTAACAACATGCTTTTCTAAATGAATTTCTCTTCAAAAGCTTTTTTTTTTTTATTCTTTACTAGTTTTTCCTTAAGTAATTATTTTTGGAAATTTTATTTATTTGGTAAATTTTTCTAATTTTAATTTTTGGAAACTTTTTAAGTAAGACCTCTAATCTTAATAGCCTTATTTGTGAGAGGTGGCACCATAAAGGTATTAATATTAAAAGAAAAATCATGTAATATAATTATTTTTATTATCATTTTATAAATATATCAAATTATTTATTTTTTACTTAAAAACATGAATTATATTTTATAAAGTTGCTTTGTTCTAATAAGTTTTTGAGATATCGATATTAACTTTGAGTAGAGTAAGACATAAAAGATAATGAAGGAAAGTAAGTGAAAACTAAATTATATATAACCATAAATAGGTTCATTAAAGTTCTTTAACATGATTTTATATTATATTAAAGTACATTTTTTTTTTTTTAAAAGGGGGTTAGAGATTTTTAATAGTTTAATAAATAAAATAACAAAATAAAAGATAATCTAGTATATTATTTGTAAATTAATTATAAAAAGCTAGAATACATGACATTTTAAACCGTGAAATTAAAATAGGAATTTACTTTTTAAGGGGCTCAATAAAAATTGAGTAAGAATTTCAATGATTTTTTAGTGAGTCTTCAAAATTCAGGGGGTCATGTGGCCCCCTTAGCTTGAGTGTAGGTCCGCGAGTGGTCTGAATGTAAAACTTGATTTTTATAACACAGCTTGTACGAATTTTTTCATGTGTTGTATACATGTATTTATGTTGCAAAAGATAGTTGTTTCTTGTTCTTTCGACAATCTTTATATTGGAATAAAAAATGTTACATACAAATTTTTCTTATACAATTATGTGAAATTGTATTTGTGGTTACATTATTCATACTCATTAATCGAAACGATTCCTTACTTTATTAGCGGCTTTTGGGTTTGTGTATAAAATTTGTGTAAAATGTTATTTTATTATAAATGCGAGAACAAGGGTAATGTATACTTTGGTACTATGTTGAAGTCGAATAGATTTCAATATTTACTTATAATTAAATATTTAATGTTTATCATACCTTATTATTATCTTGGCCGAATAAAGAAAGATAATTAGTTAAAAATTAAGTTAAATTTTTATGTAAAAATATTAAGTTGATAGATCTAGACTCATTATTACCTTTACAAACTCACTTCTGTTTCTTTTTTATACTATTTATATGATCTAAATGTATACTATTAATCCATAGCAATATCATTAATTCAGCTTCTAAAATTTTTATCTGTTTCGAACGCATCTCTTTGTGTATGCATGCGACCCAATTCCAGGGAAGCGTCCCACAATCTTAGGGAAGCCCAATATTCATGAGTTTGTCTATTTCTTCTAAAATATCAAACAGTTAAAAGTTCCAGAGAAATGATGGGTATTCCATGATTTCTGTTTTATTTGGTCATCAGAAGTAATCAACTTTGAACTGCCAATAGTACTCATAAATCTTTAGGGTCGTCTTCTGTGGTGATTTATTGAACCACTGGCCTTCAAATTTGAATCAGAATCAAAATCCTCTGGTTTTAGTTCTAACGACAGAAGGAATTTTCATTCCCACAAATCACTGGGACAGACTATTGAAGTTTAAGTTACAAACAAGTCAACAGAGCAACCTGGCGAAACAATAACCAAGATGTAGTAACATAAATTAAAATAAACAAATCTATCGAAATTTAATCTTCCCATTTGCAAGCAATGCGACTAACATTCAGGAGACCAAATTGGGTTCCACCGTCGACATGCAAGACCGAAGCTTTCCTTTCTTACTGCCCAGCCAAAAACAATTCAATCCCAAATCAAGTATGATGATGGTTCATAACAGCAAATTCTTTTAGACGAACAGAAAATAATGACTTTGTTTCCATCATTTGGCAATAAAACAATTAAAGGATATAAGGAGAAACGGGGTGGTAAAAAAAAAACCACAAGAATAAAAACAACTTGTCTACTATGTACACGGACTCGAAACATCTTCATCACGAGTTTGAAAAGGTCAGCATCCCCATCGATTTGGATGCAAGGGTACAAATCAGGCAGCAAACGCTATATACTTCCTGGCGTTGCCACTACTACTTCCAAATGTAGATCCTCAATGCAGCAACCGTGATACTGCTCCCTAGAGCAAGAAATTGGACAGGAAGTAAGCAGAGTCGATACTTTCTAAAAGCAGCGCACAGGGAAGAATGGATCAATAGCTCTGATTTCACAGCTTCCCAGGCTCAAGAGTGATCACAACATCTGCACTCTTCTGCATGCTGCAGGGATCAGGACACTTGGTTGAGACAGGAGGTGGGTGTAGCTCAAAGAAGGCTCTGCTCCCTTCACTATAGCTTCCTATGCATATTGTATCACCCCGGCCATGCCAAGTGCCATCTTGGACATTGTTCATTTCCAAAGTTCTGGCTTCCTGCTCCAGAAATATAGAATGATATTCATCATTTAAGGGGTTCGCAAAATTTCATTCAAGATGCATTTTCGTTTTGTCCATATTTTTGGCAAAATACAGCTTTGCAAATAAAGTACCTGGCTTAATGTACAACAGGGACAGATAACATGGTAGACGCAGTCATCCATTGAACTATCACAACCCTGAAAGCAAACATATTTCCCCAAAGATGTCAATTTAAATGTGAAAGTAATAAGCAATAAATCAAAATAAGCCATAGAAAGAGCAGTAGTTATGAGACTAGAATAATTCAACTCGTCAAAAGATTCTCACAATCACAATGTGGCAAAACAATGGGGGAGGGATATTTATCGAAATGGAACATGGGAAGATTTGTTTAGCCTTAAGTCCATTCTCATTAAAGGACATTAAAAAGAAACCACAAATACCAGGGCTTCACCTTGTCCATGTTTAGACTGGGTATAAATTGAACAAAGACGACACTGTCTAATTGATAGCTTTAGACTTTGATTATAGGTTTTGTACAAAATATGCTGGTTATGAGGTAACCTTATAACCAAAAACAGAACAGACAGACCTTCTTCCATATTAAACTACTCAGAGATAAACAGAGAGGCTACCAGTACTTGTTAAAATGAATGAAGCTAACATCTGCCTTAAGAACCTTTCCAACTTGCAAAACACAAACTTGAAAACAAAATTCTGGGTTTTTGAATAGAGTCCGACATTGAAGATCAAAATTCTTGAATTGGCACTCCACCTGTTCGACAAAAGGCCCAAGCCAATTTGGCCAGCACCTTCCCTCAGGGTCCAACAGTGCCGACAACGAGCAGGCCAGATTGAGTGCTTGTGAGAGAGTTTGAATACGTTATTTTGAAAATTTCATTTTATTTCTGATTGAATACAACACAAATGACCACTTTACCTTTTAACCATTGCATTAAGCGATATTTTACCTTCTGACCAGTACATTAAACGATTTTTGTTAATCTAAGGAGGGAATCCAAAATTTATGAAACCGGGTGAAACCTTGTCATTTGGCCGAACTTATGTTGGGAAAATGTCTTTTACTCTATAAAAAATGACCCAATATAGATTTTTATTTAAGCATAATTTATGACCACATATTATAATAACTTATTAAATCTTTTCGTTGAGTGGACCACTAGATTTTTATGACCATCTTACAGCAGTGAAGACATTTTCTACCGCACCAATTAATTAAACCTTATTTCTAAGTTCGGTCAAAGAGAATAGTTAATGCACTATTTATTTGTACATTTCTTTATGATATAGGCCAATAAGTAAGTTATTTAACAACACGCTTTTCTAATTGAATTTCTCTTCAAAAGCTTTTTTTTTTTTATTCTTTACTAGTTTTTCCTTAAGTAATTATTTTTGGAAATTTTATTTATTTGGTAAATTTTTCTAATTTTAATTTTTGGAAACTTTTTAAGTAAGACCTCTCAGCTTAATAGCCTTATTTGTGAGAGGTGGCACCATAAAGTTATTAATATTAAAAGAAAAATCATGTAATATAATTAGTTTTTATTATCATTTTATAAATATATCAAATTATTTATTTTTTACTAAAAAACATGAATTATATTTTATAAAGTTGCTTTGTTCTAATAAGTTTTTGAGATATCAATATTAACTTTGAGCAGAGTAAGACATAAAAGATAATGAAGGAAAGTAAGTGAAAACTAAATTATATATAACCATAAATATTAAATAGGTTCATTAAAGTTCTTTAACATGATTTTATATTATATTAAAGTGTCATTTTTTTTAAAAAAAAAAAGGGGGTTAGAGATTTTTAATAGTTTAATAAATAAAATAACAAAATAAAAGATAATCTAGTACATTATATGTAAATTAATTATAAAAAGCTAGAATACATGACATTTTAAACCGTGAAATTAAAATAGGAATTTACTTTATAAGGGGCTCAATAAAAATTGTGTAAGAATTTCAATGATTTTTTAGTGAGTCTTCAAAATTCAGGGGGTCATGTGGCCCCCTTAGCTTGAATGTAGGCCCGCCAGTGGTCTGAATGTAAAACTTGATTTTGATAACACAGCTTGTACGAATTTTTTCATGTGTTGTATACATGTATTTATGTTGCAAAAGATAGTTGTTTCTTGTTCTTTCGACAATTTTTATATTGGAATAAAAAATGTTACATACAAATTTTTCATATACAATTATGTGAAATTGTATTTGTGGTTACATTATTCATACTCATTAATCGAAACGATTCCTTACTTTATTAGCGGCTTTTGGGTTTGTGTATAAAATTTGTGTAAAATGTTATTTTATTATAAATGCGAGAACAAGGGTAATGTATACTTTGGTACTATGTTGAAGTCGAATAGATTTCAATATTTACTTATAACTAAATATTTAATGTTTATCATACCTTATTATTATCTTGGCCGAATAAAGAAAGATAATTAGTTAAAAATTAAGTTAAATTTTTATGTAAAAATATTAAGTTGATAGATCTAGACTCATTATTACCTTTACAAACTCACTTCTGTTTCTTTTTTATACTATTTATATGATCTAAATGTATACTATTAATCCATAGCAATATCATTAATTCAGCTTCTAAAATTTTTATCTGTTTCGAACGCATCTCTTTGTGTATGCATGCGACCCAATTCCAGGGAAGCGTCCCACAATCTTAGGGAAGCCCAATATTCATGAGTTTGTCTATTTCTTCTAAAATATCAAACAGTTAAAAGTTCCAGAGAAATGATGGGTATTCCATGATTTCTGTTTTATTTGGTCATCAGAAGTAATCAACTTTGAACTGCCAATAGTACTCATAAATCTTTAGGGTCGTCTTCTGTGGTGATTTATTGAACCACTGGCCTTCAAATTTGAATCAGAATCAAAATCCTCTGGTTTTAGTTCTAACGACAGAAGGAATTTTCATTCCCACAAATCACTGGGACAGACTATTGAAGTTTAAGTTACAAACAAGTCAACAGAGCAACCTGGCGAAACAATAACCAAGATGTAGTAACATAAATTAAAATAAACAAATCTATCGAAATTTAATCTTCCCATTTGCAAGCAATGCGACTAACATTCAGGAGACCAAATTGGGTTCCACCGTCGACATGCAAGACCGAAGCTTTCCTTTCTTACTGCCCAGCCAAAAACAATTCAATCCCAAATCAAGTATGATGATGGTTCATAACAGCAAATTCTTTTAGACGAACAGAAAATAATGACTTTGTTTCCATCATTTGGCAATAAAACAATTAAAGGATATAAGGAGAAACGGGGTGGTAAAAAAAAAACCACAAGAATAAAAACAACTTGTCTACTATGTACACGGACTCGAAACATCTTCATCACGAGTTTGAAAAGGTCAGCATCCCCATCGATTTGGATGCAAGGGTACAAATCAGGCAGCAAACGCTATATACTTCCTGGCGTTGCCACTACTACTTCCAAATGTAGATCCTCAATGCAGCAACCGTGATACTGCTCCCTAGAGCAAGAAATTGGACAGGAAGTAAGCAGAGTCGATACTTTCTAAAAGCAGCGCACAGGGAAGAATGGATCAATAGCTCTGATTTCACAGCTTCCCAGGCTCAAGAGTGATCACAACATCTGCACTCTTCTGCATGCTGCAGGGATCAGGACACTTGGTTGAGACAGGAGGTGGGTGTAGCTCAAAGAAGGCTCTGCTCCCTTCACTATAGCTTCCTATGCATATTGTATCACCCCGGCCATGCCAAGTGCCATCTTGGACATTGTTCATTTCCAAAGTTCTGGCTTCCTGCTCCAGAAATATAGAATGATATTCATCATTTAAGGGGTTCGCAAAATTTCATTCAAGATGCATTTTCGTTTTGTCCATATTTTTGGCAAAATACAGCTTTGCAAATAAAGTACCTGGCTTAATGTACAACAGGGACAGATAACATGGTAGACGCAGTCATCCATTGAACTATCACAACCCTGAAAGCAAACATATTTCCCCAAAGATGTCAATTTAAATGTGAAAGTAATAAGCAATAAATCAAAATAAGCCATAGAAAGAGCAGTAGTTATGAGACTAGAATAATTCAACTCGTCAAAAGATTCTCACAATCACAATGTGGCAAAACAATGGGGGAGGGATATTTATCGAAATGGAACATGGGAAGATTTGTTTAGCCTTAAGTCCATTCTCACTGAAGGACATTAAAAAGAAACCACAAATACCCGGGCTTCACCTTGTCCATGTTTAGACTGGGTATAAATTGAACAAAGACGACACTGTCTAATTGATAGCTTTAGACTTTGATTATAGGTTTTGTACAAAATATGCTGGTTATGAGGTAACCTTATAACCAAAAACAGAACAGACAGACCTTCTTCCATATTAAACTCCTCAGAGATAAACAGAGAGGCTACCAGTACTTGTTAAAATGAATGAAGCTAACATCTGCCTTAAGAACCTTTCCAACTTGCAAAACACAAACTTGAAAACAAAACACAGACCAACCCAAACCCAGTCATGAGGATACTATGACATCAATTTTTGTTAAACATGCAATTAGATAGAATTAGGGATTGGATTGATATGAAACATGTATAATGAGGTAGAGCACATAACTAGTTTAAAATAGTATTTAAGTATCAAACGCAATGATGGATATAAATGCTCACCAGAATGTTAAATTTTCTTTTTATTTGCGTTCGGTAAAACCCCAAGTAGCCTCCTATTGAAATGGCAAAAGCCATGGCCAAATACAAAAAGCAATGGCTCTTGGTGACAATAAAGGCAATGAAATTCGCAAGGCCACCAATAGCAAGAAACAAATACACACTTGCCTGCAAAATTTCAAAGAGAAATCTAGATATTTAACAACTTCATTTTCAAAAGTTTCAAGTTTTGTAGCTTTAAAGTATAAGTTGAAAAAATTACCTGAATAAAACAAGAACCAAAACCAGCCCGTCCCATGTTCTTCCCAAATCGGTAACAGGGACAACTGTAAAAACAAACACAGTATTACTCTCCAGCAAAACAAAACCAACAAGCATCAGTTCAAGAATTGTTAAGCAAACGAATCAAATACAGAAATTTAAGAACAAACCAAGCGGATTCAAGAGCGATGCGACGGTCATCGAAGCAATCAAGGACTTCACCTTCCCACATCCTTAAAACGGCGCCAAATTCATCTCCATCGGCGTCCATTTCAACCTCCTCGTTCGGTTGTGTATTGAATTTACCTTGCGTCTGCAAGGCCACAGTGGAACACAGCAGCTCAAAATTTACCACAGCCATCCCTTCGAGCAATCTCTCCCCTTCTTCACCAACCTTCTCTTGTCTCTCCACATCCGCCATTATACCGTTTCTTTCTCTTTGCTGCAATCTTCAAAGTTGTACTTCCCTAATGGTGAATTAAAAAGGGAGAAATGAAAATTTATTTAAATAATTCAGGCGTTGCTTTATTTGGGGTTGAGTGAAAATTGTTTTGATTGTGTGTTAGGCAGTTGGGGACGTGGGCGGGCAATTAATGAAGTGAGTGGGAACAGTGGAAGCGATAATTGACGGTACAGCTGTTGCCATGTTGGATGATGAAATAAAATAACTTCTGATTGAAAGAACAAATTAAGGTTCTAATTATAAGAAAATAAAATAAAGAGAAGTTCTGACAACCTCTGAAAGTTGAAACTGCTATTTAGTCGTTTTGTGGTTATAAAAAAACTTCAGGTGACCTATTTTTGAACAAGATAATTAATTATTCTTGGTGTAAGTTAACAATAGTAAGGATGAAGGGAGGATAACGATGATTTGGTAGCAGTGGACAGCAAGCCCAAGCTGCTGGGTGGGAACTTGGTGGCCGATTTATGCATTATTTTATTATTGTTCCAAATAAAGTTTTATACGACCCTTATCTAAATTATCAACCAACCCACGTGCATAAAGCTATTCTGTTGCAAGTTGACTCGTGAAAGTGATTTTTGAAACCAAATATGTCTCATCTTCACCATGCCAATCTCCGATATGCATTTTAATTTTTGAAAACAGATTCACAGCATCCGCCCTAACTTTAGAACCACCCAATTTCCACTTCAATTTGCATTCCAACTTTTTAACTTCTTGTATCTTTTTATAATCACAACAGTTGTTCCCAGTTGACATTCAACCGACCTACAAATCACCACAACCTTCCACTTTCAAATTCACGAGGTTGATGTTGTCGCCACAACTTAAATTCTTAGCAACAGTAATTAACTGAAGTGAACCCAGAGCACATATAAGTTGCTTGATATTTGGGTTGGGTGTAATGTTTTAAAACCCAACCCTTGGTTAAACCCAACAAAGTGGTTGGGTTCTAAATTGACTGGTTTAACAGGTTTTACCAACTGGTCAAACCGGATGACAAAAATTTTAAAATTTAGTAAATACACCCCTAAAAATCACAGTTAAGTCTTTATAAGTTTGAAATTTAGCAAACACACTTTAAATACAAATCGACAGTCGATTGATTGGCGGTTGCGACACCCCAAATGCAATCACAATCATCCATTGAGCCCATTCCCCATAANCACCCAATTTCCACTTCAATTTGCATTCCAACTTTTTAACTTCTTGTATCTTTTTATAATCACAACAGTTGTTCCCAGTTGACATTCAACCGACCTACAAATCACCACAACCTTCCACTTTCAAATTCACGAGGTTGATGTTGTCGCCACAACTTAAATTCTTAGCAACAGTAATTAACTGAAGTGAACCCAGAGCACATATAAGTTGCTTGATATTTGGGTTGGGTGTAATGTTTTAAAACCCAACCCTTGGTTAAACCCAACAAAGTGGTTGGGTTCTAAATTGACTGGTTTAACAGGTTTTACCAACTGGTCAAACCGGATGACAAAAATTTTAAAATTTAGTAAATACACCCCTAAAAATCACAGTTAAGTCTTTATAAGTTTGAAATTTAGCAAACACACTTTAAATACAAATCGACAGTCGATTGATTGGCGGTTGCGACACCCCAAATGCAATCACAATCATCCATTGAGCCCATTCCCCATAAAATATACCCAATATCTAGTTCGATTTCGACTAGATCTCATCGACATCGATGTCGACAACCCTCTCCATCACTCCGAAGAAACTTTTCTCTGCCTCTTGACCAAAATCCACCTCACTCCACCCCCGCTAGCCTCGCCAATCACTGGCAAAAGCCAGTTGTTGCCATGACCTTTTTTTTTCAATTTTCGATCAATTTACTCACTGGAAATCAACTCCGTTGCCACCATTACACTCACCAACATTTTCTCTTTAAAAGCACCACCATACTGGTCTTCAATTGTTCACAGATCATCATCTCAATTTCTAAGGTTTTTGGTGAATAGTGAAATGAGTAATCCAACCCAATGAAAGCCTAGTTTCCAGATTGAACTGATTCAACCAGCCGAGCAAGCCGAGTTCTAAAACAATGGTTGGGCGGTATGCGCTCATATCGCCACCAGACTAGCGGCCAAATATTTATCAACTAAAAGTCAAAAAGAAAGTATTCAAACCAATCATCAACAACATCATAAAAAGAAAATGCATTATTGTTGGTACTCATGAGACATAGATAGACAAGTGCGAAACATAGTTGAATCCAATTTACAACACATCAACACTTCGGCAGGGCTATTGGATCCATACTTTTTCTTAGCCAAGAGAGATTGCTACACAATTAACATAACTTCAAAACTCATGTCTTCATTGCAGGTCTCACCAGCCCCAACCCTGAACCACTACCCAAATGTTTAAAGTCTGTTGCTTGAAGTCGATCCCCATGGCCAGCAAACCCTGTCCCTCCTTTCTCCAAGTTCACCAAATTTCTCTCTTTACATGCCTTATTGCAGACCAAACAAACCTTATCGACAGCCATAAACTTGTCGGCACATTTTTTGCAGAACACATGCCCACATGAGCTTAGGGCAACAAGTGACAATGTGTTAGTCAGGGTAACCTTGCAGCTGGGACAAATATATGTCTTATCAAGTGAATTGGATTCATTCTCCTCGCTGTTGTCTTCTGTAAATTGGATTGGGAAGAGGGTTTTCATTTTGAGTTTCTCCTTGCCTTCTGGACAGACTGTACTAGTAGAAGGGGCTTCAACCTTTGCAGGAGCCTCTGGTGTAGCAGAGGGCAGCCAAAATGCTTTCATTGTCCGAAGGGCTTCCTCTTCGTAAGATGTGGCTTTCACACTATTTGCACCATGGAAACCATGCTTGTCTCGGCCGTGATTTCTATCACTGTATTGTGGTACTGCACCATGGTTTTGCTGATCAAAGGCATCAAGCTCTCTAGCTTTCTGCAACATTAACTTTTCTTCTTCCTCTTCCTTCTCTTGCTTCTGCAGAGCAGCATGAGCAGCTAACTTTCTGACAGACAAAGAAAGAATCAAGCTCTTCAGCACAGGATTGACAACTAAAAACCCAAAACACTAAGCTAACCATTAACCCAAAAAATAAACAAACTGGAAAACAAGAAATGTGTATCACGTTTATTTCATTGATTTAAAAAACTATGCAATTATGAGAAGTACATGGCAGTTCTAGAATAAGCTTATTATCATATCTTTCTCATGCCATTGGTCCCATATGTTGAACTGCAGCTGGTAAATTACTAATAACATGGATTTACCATCAATAGTAGAGGAAATCTAAAAGAAGATGCTTGCTTAAGTAATCTAAATTAGGTATTCCTAAAAGGAGGCAAGAAGTATGGGAATTGAGAATGAATATCTTGTGTAGTGTGAGAACAAACTACGATATAAACATGAACATTTTAAACTTCTCCCATCGGGCAAGTGATACCTGATTGATTGTAAAGAAATATATAGACATTCATCTCATCGGCAAAATTTACATAGAATTTTAGGGCTCATTTTATTTAGAATTCAAAAATAATTTTTTGTTTTTGAAACCAAGGTATACAAGAAAAATTAAGAAAACTCATGTGGTGATATATATATATATGACCTTTAGATATTAAAGGTTTTTTTAATACAATCTAGATGTTTGGATTATATCTTAGTTTTTGAAAATTATTTTTAATCAAAGTAAAACAAGCACTAAATTTAAAAGCTATCTAACATAACTTCACAATAAGCAGGCTGCCAAAGTGAAGAAAAGATACATACACACTAAAAGTTCTAAAAATCTAAAAAAAAAAAAAAAAAAAAAAAAATGCAAACCATTTTGAAGTGATACATGTGAAAAATTTAAACAAGATAGCTTATCAATTCATATTTTTCATGTAACACACACTTATGGGTAGATCTCCTTAGTTCTCAACCAACCGTTCTCCCTAGTGCTATCAATCTATTAAAGAATCTATAAATTTTGCTCACTTTCCTCAGGAAGTTTCAAACCATTACTTCCCTCATCTATTCAAAATCTCTGCCAAGAGTAATGCGATAAACATCATTAGTTTAGAAGCACAAGCATATAGTTTTCGCATCTGAATCAATGAATCATGCTTTGTAAACCATCATTTATCAATGCGATGCCACAATGTTTCCCACTCCTTAAATTTTTCAATCAGTCAATTAGCTTCTTAACATTCACGTTGATAGCTCCCAAGTCAATATGTTGATGATTTAGTTTCATAAAAGAGACTTGTACACAATCATTTTGCTGCTTATGAACTCCAACACTACCAAAGTCTAATCTAAGCGAGCAAGACAATTTAACAGATATTTATAAGCAATTTCTTCATCTTGAAGAAAACAAAATAGAAGTAAAAGCCGAAGTTGAAGCAAACCTTTGGATGTCTTTTTTCTGGGCGAGAAGGCACTCGAGAATGCATTCTTTACAGAAGACGTGACCTTTCTGGCAGCACATAGGATCGATGAATGGCTTCAAGCAAAGGCAACAAGCATCAAAAGGTTTTATTGAGTCCTTGCCAAGCCTCTCCTTCTGCGTTCCATACCCCAGCTTACGCTTCTCATCGTACGTGAAAAAGGCCAGGTCATTGTTGTTCTTTGAGTGTCTCTGCGGCATCTTTATCTCTGATGAGAAGGCCTAAATTGATTTTGGATCGGGAAATAGAATTGAAATTCGAAACCCTAGAAATTGCGAGACGTTTGAACTGAATCAATTTTTTCTCAAGGCTATTTATATTAGAGCAGTATTGTTATAGACATAGGATGTGATCAGAAAGACAGTTTTGTTATTCTTTCCCTCTTCACTCTTCAGATATAAAAGATCGGCCTCAGGTCTAAAATCGACGGCTAAGTATTGAGGTACTATGGGATGATTATCAGATCTTGAGCGTACTGGATCAGGAAAAAATAGACCTTTTTCTTTTTTAATTGTAATATATGTAAATCGAATAATATTCCTACTAAAAACCAATCTAAAATTTAAAACATTTTTCTCTTAATAAAAGTAATTTTTTTTGTTTAGTTATATATACATCATTCATATTGAGTTTTTTTTTTTTTTTTTTTTAATATTTTTTTTTTCCTTTTACATAATAAATAATATTATTTATGGAGTTAAAAGATATTGATCCGTGAGGTTTGATTTAATAATTCTTCACTATTTTAGAAAGGTTGAAATACATGTTCTCACACTAAGTTTGGAAAATCGACATTTTTCCCACCCCTGGTTTTGACTTTTGAAAACTAACAATGTTCTACTCTCCGTCATTAGGTTGACAAAATTGGGCACGACCCAATAACGCAACACAAACTCATTTATTA